TATTGACTGCAGAAGTCACTTTCCATGCAGAATTAAGACGCTGTATGAAGGCCGGTGCCGTGGATCACTAGGCTAATCCTCTGCCTGCGGCGCCGGCACTCCAAGTTCTAGTCCCAGTTGGGGCGCTGGTTCTTTCCCGGTTGCTCCTCTTCCAGGCCAGCTCTCTGCTGTGGCCCGGGAAGGCAGTGGAGGATGGCCCAAGTCCTTGGGCCCTGCACCCGTATGGGAGACCAGAAAGAAGCACCTGGCTCCTGGCTTCGGATCGGCACAGTGCGCCAGCTGTGGTAGCCATTTGGGGGGTAAACCAATGGAAAGAAGACCTCTCTCTCTCTCTCTCTCACTGTCTAACTCTGCCTGTCAAAAAAAAAAAAAAAAAAAAAGATGTTGTATGAAGATTAAAAAGCCTCCAGGTCATACTTCACTTAAAATTGGTGTGGGGGGGGCATTGTGGCATAGCAAGTTAGGCTTCCCCCTGCAGCACTGGCAACCCATATGGGTGCTGGTTATGGTGCTGGTTATGGGTGCTGGTTATGGTGCTGGTTAGTGTCCTGGTTGCTCCACTTCCAGTCTGGCTTTCTGTAATGTGCCCAGGAAAGCAGCAGAGGATATGGAAAGATAGTCTTGTCAGGAAATTCAGGTTTAAATGAGAGAGGGAGAAGATCAGATCCTTGGACAAAACCTAGTTGACTGTAACCAAATAAAATAAATTTAAAATGTTAAGCACATTGTGATACTACATTTGAAGTACTTTGGAATAACATATGGCATGGGACATTGTACATGCTCAATAAATTTTCTGCTGCCAGCTAAGGTCTGGTGTTAATTTCCACCTCCTAGTGGCTCAGGCGGCTTGTACTTGACTCATTTGTTCAAGTGCACCTATGCGTTCAGGTTGGGTGTGGGAGGCCTGGGAAAAACTGTCTTCAGGAGATATGGTTCTCTTCATGGCCAAATCAATCTGGGCTAGGTTGATTCATTAGTAGGCAGGCCTAAATGGTTTCCAGATTTTTGTTTTTTAAAGATTTATTTATCTATCTGAAGGCGGAGTTACAGAGAGAGAGAGAGAGAGAGAGAGATTTCCCATCTACTGTTTCACTTCCCAAATGGCTGCAGTAGCCAAGCTGAGGCCAGAGCCTGGAACTCCATTCAGGTCTCTCACGTGTGTGGCAGGGGCCCAAGTAGTGAGCCATTACTTGTTGCCTCTCTGGGTGTGCATTAGCATGAAACTGGATTGGAAGTAGAATAGCCAGGCCTTGAACCTGGGATGCAGTGCCATGCCACGTGCCCACCACTGGCACTTCACTTGTCTGACTTACCTTCTTTCCTCAGCCTCTGCTGGCTCCTCTCACGCTGTGCAGGGAACTGAAGTTGCAGTCTCTGTCCTCTTAGTCCTATGCTTTGCTGATAGTTGTTCCTTGCTATCTTTGACTTGTTCATTTTTTATTAAGTCTCAACCTTGTATCTCGTCTGTCCTCTTGCAGCTTCTCTTTTAAGTTTTAAGTGGGAGTCAATCAATCAGTGATATCCATTAGCTAAAATAAGTTTGATAGTTGGGAGAAACTGCTGAATCTATAAGAGTGTCTTTGTAGCCTTTATTAAGCGCCATCTGTGTTAGTTGGCAAAATTTTTCTGACTTGCTAGGGAGCTGGTTGGTAAAAAAGTCAATTAAATATTTGTCAAATGAATGAATGAATGAATGAATCCGTATCCACACCTAAATGTACACCAGCATTTGTAGCATTTATTTTTTTAAAGATCTATTTATTTATTTGAAAGGCAGAGTTACACAGAGAGAGGAGAAGCAGAGAAAGAGAGAGAGAGAGAGAGGTCTTCCATCTGTTGGTTCACTCTCTAATTGGCCGCAATGGCTGGAGCTGCACCGATCCGAAGCCAGGATCCAGGAGCTCCTTCCGGGTCTCCCACGTGGTTTCAGGGGCCCAAGGACCTAGGCAATCTTCTACTGCTTTCCCAGGCCATAGCAGAGAGCTGGATCAGAAATGGAACAGCTGGGTCTCAAACCAGTGCCCATATGGGATGCCGGCGCTACAGGCCAGAGCATTAACCTGCTGTGCCACAGCTCCGGCCCCTGTAGCATTTAAATAATACAAAAATACAAAGGCTGGTCCTTGGCTTAAGAACTGCATCTTTTCATATCCTTCATCAAAAGACTGCTTTGAAATAGAACAGAGGGCCAGAACAGGTTCACTGTTTATTGTGCTAAAGAAGAAGTTATTTCTTAAAATGGAATGTTAGCAAAGCATCAGTTAAGGCAGCAACAGATGCCAATGAGCTAAGGCACTCTGGAGGCCAAACACTACTCTTATCAGTGGACTTTCTACATGTCCATAAATAGCCAAATGCACGAAACTAGATGAATAATATGAAGCAAGTACTCTCTACACACTTCAAGGACACAAACTTTTTTCTTTTTTTGATGATTCATTTTATTTATTTGAAAGAGTTAGAGAGAGAGAGAGAGAGAGAGTTTTTCCATCTGCTCGTTCACTCCTCAAATGGCTGCAGTGGCCAGGGCTAGGCCAGGCTGAAGCAAAGGGCCAGGAGCTTCTTTCAGGTCTCCTACATAGGTGCAGGGGCCCAAGGACTTGGGCCATCTTCTGCTTCTTTCCCAGGTGCATAAGCAGGGAGCTGGATCAAAAGTGGAGAAGCCAGAACTTGAATCAGCGCCCATATGGTATGCCAAAGTTGCAGGTGGCAGCTTTACCCATTGTGCCACAACACCCAGCCCCAGGGACATAACCTTGACATCACTTTGGAAGCCCTCCGCTCTCCTGTTAAATAATCTACTTAGCTTTCTTTATCATTTTGCCATCTTTACAAACACCCCTGAAATAAACTTTGGTTTCACCCAATTTTGAACTCTAAATAGATTTTAACAATTCTAAACAACTGCATGCTTATTTGATTTGAGAAAGAAAGTCAGTTGGTTTTTCTTAAAATGAGGTAGTTTGAAGTGTGCCAATCTCTACTGGAGACACCACTCTTTAGCCTACTTTTATGTTTGCTCCGTGCCGGTCACCCTCCTCCTTACTACTTCAAAGGCATCCTTCCCAAAGCTGCCTGTGGTCTTACTTACATTAATGCTTTCCAAGATCCAGTGTAACTTTGAATGATATTGAGCTCATCACCCTGAAATGGATGTTGATATTGCATGATCACCACTGTAATTATTTCTAATTTGTGCTTTACTTCAAAAAGTCTCTTCCTCTAAATTCTGTACTTTCAAAACGACATCTATAGCTTTAATTACACCTGGCAGTAACCTCCTCTTACCACAGAATCTGGTCATGTACCATATCCAGATTATATAATCAGACATCATCAGCTATTCTGCTTTATAAAAAGTGTATATATCAAGCCTTGAAGAGTTACAGAATTTGCAATGGAATTCTTGACCCTGGCTGGAATTATTGTTTGTGATTATTTCAAATAGCAGTTGTGACAAATGATGGGAGACTAGTTAAATTATCTACCAAGCCGGGGTGAAATCATCCTTTAGGCTGCAGTGGACTTAGTGAATCTACTAAGTACAACCCCAGGGGGTGACTTCTACAGAGATTAAATCAGATTTGGGCAGTGTTAAAAGGGTACTTTGGGTACATCACATCGCCTTCCAGATTCTCAGCTAATCTGAGTTTCCATGAGGAAGAGGTTTTGTGGGTACTTTGGAGGAGAAGTTGGTGGAATGCAGTCTGAGAGGAGCAGGCACAGTGTCTGGTGACAGGCTCCATGGAGCAGAAAACAGAAGACAAAAGTGAGAAGTTGGTGTTTGTGAAAAGACATTATCAGGAAGGAATGCTAGCATTCTAAAGCTTACATTGCCACTCTGAACACAGTATTTTGTTGCTTATTTTTTTTTGCTTGATTCAAATTTCATAATGAATTAAGTAGATCTGTTCCCATTTCTGTGCACTTGGAGACAATTGCTAGAGAACCGATAGTTTTATGTAGGTCTTGAGGAACAAGATTGGTGAGGAATGTTAGGTCAGACTCTGAAAATCCTTCAATCACGTATATGGACTTTATCCTTCAGGAATCATTGAGTCGTTTGTTATTTGTTTGTTTACAGGGGCTGGGTGGAAACCACAAAGAGAACCACTTTTTAATGATTCCTAAGGGGATAAAGACTCTAGAAGAGAGAATTGGTAAGGTTTTACAGCCTTGGAAAACCCGGCTGGACTAGGCTGGTAGCGGTGGCAGTGAATTGTAAAGAAAGGGATGGATGCAGCTCACATTGTAAGGGGGGGGGGGGGTTTGGTTTCATTTTGTCATTTCAGCCACTCGGACTTGATGATGTTCAACTTTCTTATTTCCATTTATGTTTTCCTTCTCCCTTCAATGTTCATCTTTTTCTTTCCCATTTTCTCTCTCTTGTTTCTTTTCTTGCATTCAAGGAAATTCTCTTATTACCTCAATACATTAGATGGGGACTTAATCAGTAAGATAGGTATCAGATGGGAAATGTGATTGGAAACTTGTTAATCCAAGACTTATTAACTAATTATAATATGTTGCTACTGTTTTAAAATTGACAGAGAATAATTGTATATATTTGTGGGATATGGGGCTACAGTGTCCTATTTCAATACCTGCTGTTGCTGCTTAATTAAAAAACAGTTTGTGTGTGTGTGTGTGTGAGAGAGAGAGAGAGAAAGAGAGAGATGAAAGTTAATGAAGAAAAAGAAGAGTAGACAGAAAAGACAGTTACACTCAATAATTCCTTCATTCATGCAAGAAATACTGTGTTTCCAGAGAAAAACAAGCAAAAATACAAAGAAAATGTAATAAATATATATAAATTTATATAACATATTCATTTATAAATATATAAATATAATAAATATAAAATAATGTACATTATTTTATTATGTTTTATGACTTAGTTACCCTTCTGAAACAGTTGGGTAGAGGAGATGTCAGGTTTGGAGACACAAGACTAATGCGTGATGAGAGTCTTCTTTCTTCCCTCTCTGCAGGTATTTTTTCATATCAAAAGAGGAAGTCCGCGGGGGCTGGTGCTGTGGCTTAGGAGGCTAAGCTGCTGCCTACATTGTTGGTATTCCATATGGGTGCCGGTTCGAGTCCCAGCTGCTCCACTTCTGATCCAGCTCTCTGATATGGCCTGGGAAAAGCAGAGAAGATGGCCCAAGTCCTTCTCCTACTCCACGTGGGAGACCTGGAAGAAGCTCCTGGTTCCTGGCTTCAGATCGGCGCAGCTCCATCCATTGCAGCCAACTGGGGAGTGAACCAGTGGATGGAAGACCTCTCTCTCTCTCTCTTTCTCTCTCTCTGCCTCTTCTTTCTCTGTGTAACTCTGACTTTCAAATAAATAAATAAATCTTAAAAAAAAAAAAAGAGGAATTCTAACTCCTACTCCCCTAAAACTTCGGCTGGCCTTGGTAACTGGCTCAACCAACAGAGTGCTATGGAAGTGACTTTCTGGGCCTTGTGAGAGTTGGTTGTTAAAAAAAAAAAAAAAAAAAATCAACCAGGGGAGGCACCATGGCTCACTTGGCTAATCCTACGCCTGCGGCACTGGCATCCCGTATGAGCGCCGGGTTCTAGTCCCGGTTGCTCCTCTTCCAGTCCAGCTCTCTGCTGTGGCCCGGGAAGGCAGTGGAGGATAGCCCAGGTGATTGGGTGCCTGCACCCGCATGGGAGACCAGGAGGGAGCACCTGGCTCCTGGTTTCAGATCAGCGCAGTGCCGGCCGTAGCAGCCATTTGGGGGTTGAACCATTGGAAGGAAGACTTTTCTCTCTGTCTCTCTCTCTCACTGTCTAATTCTACCTGTCGAATAAGTAAAACAAACAAACAAACAAACAAACAAAAAAAACCCTGGGTCTTTTGGGACATCTACTCATGGGATGCTCCCTTTTGGAACCCAGGAACTGCACCATGAGAAGCTCAAGTCACATGGAACAGCCACATGGAGATTCTCCAGGTGGGAGCCCAGATGAAGTTCTTCAGTTAATAGCCAGCATCCATTTCAGGCATGGAAAGCCAAGACTCTGTGGCAAAAAATATGCTATACAGAGGATCTCTGGGACCTCAGTGGAAAGAAAGGGCCATCAAAGAAGGATATACGTTTCTCTAAAGGGAGGAGAGAACATCCACTTTGCTTACGGCTGTGTCCAAATACTAATGGAGTCTGTGGTTACAAAAGGCTTCCATAGCCTTGGCAGCCAAAGACAAGAGCCTTGGGTGGTCCTTGATGTTGTAAATAAGAGTGTTAATTGTGAAAGGAACAACAGAAGTCACTGTGCCCTTACTCCTCATGTAGGACTACCATTCTTAGTGAGTTGTACTATGAGAATCGATTGCAAATCTTGTTCTCAAACTCTATATGTGGTGTGTGTGGGGGTGCAAACTGTTGAAATCAATGCTTAACATGGAGTTGGTCCTCTGTATATAAAATCAAACTAAAAATGAACCATAATGAAGAAGGGGATGGGAGAGGGAAAGGGAGGTGGGGTGGGAGTCAGGGTGGGAGGATGGGTATGGGGGAAAGAAAAGAACCATTATATTCCTAAATTTGTATCTGTGAAAAAATGCATTCATTAAATAAAACTTAAAAAAAAAATAGCCAGCGTCCTCTGCCAGCCATGTGAGTGGTTCTTTCTGATGCACATCCCAGTTTAGCCTTCAGATGATTGTAGCCTCGCCAAAATCTGACTATACTTCCCGGGAGACTCCAAGCAATAACTGCCCAGTCAATCCTAGTCAACACACAGGAAAACGCAAGACAAGAATAAGTGAATGTTTTAAGCTACTGTGCTTCAGTGTTGCTTGTTACACAGTAACAGATCACTAGAATGTTTTGTCTTCTCTTATGTAAGACATGAAGAATACATATATTTTATCAAATACCAGGAAAATTCATAATGCCACTTAGAATGCATACTTATTTTTCTGTGTGTGTGTGTGTGTGTTTTTTTTCCTTTTAAAGATCACTTTATGGGGCCAGCGCTATGACACAGCAGGTTAAAGCCCCACCTGCAGCTCTGGCATCCCATATGTGCACTGGTTAGAGTCCCAGCTGCTCCACTTCCAATCTAGCTCCCTGCTTATGTGCCTGGGAAAGCAGGGGAGGATGGCCCAAGTGCTTGGGCCCCTGCACCCTTGTGGAATACTTGGAAGAAGCACCTGGCTCTTGGCCTCAGCCTGAACCAGCCCTAGTCATTGCAGCCATTTAGGGAGTGAACCAGTGGATGGAAGACCTCTCTCTCTCTCTCTCCCTCTCTCTCTGTCTGTCTCTACCTTTCTCTGTAACTCTGCCTTTCAAATAAATAAAAATAAATGTTAAAAAAACACTTTATTACTTACTAGTCTTGAATCTAGAAACTGAATCCACTTATTGATCAGAAATCTTCCAAGATACTTAAATATTTTGACTGTAATATTTTGAGTACTGATCAAGAAAATGTGATGTAGACGTGACAAAAATAATGATTGTATTTATTTATTTATTTATTTATTGACAGGCAGAGTGGACAGTGAGAGAGAGAGAAAGAGAGAAAGGTCTTCCTTTGCCATTGGTTCACCCTCCAACGGCCGCCGCGGCTGGCGCACTGTGGCCGGTGCACGGTGCTGATCCGATGGCAGGAGCCAGGTACTTCTCCTGGTCTCCCATGGGGTGCAGGGACCAAGCACTTGGGCCATCCTCCACTGCACTCCCTGGCCACGGCAGAGAGCTGGCCTGGAAGAGGGGCAACCGGGACAGAATCCAGCGCCCTGACTGGGACTAGAACCTGGTGTGCCGGCGCCGCAAGGCGGAGGATTAGCCTAGTGAGGCATGATTGTTTAAATCCTAGTTCAGTCATTCATCATTGGATGACTTCTTTAGCATGCCTAGTTACCAATATTATCATTTATTTGAACGTGTTTAGTAATGGCTGATAAAACATTTAGTAAGTGTTATTTTCCTCTCTTCTTATGAAATCCTGTAATCGTAAGTGCAACCTTGTTGAAGAGTAACATGTTATCATTTGGCGTCCTAAAACTGAGCATTTTCTTTGTCAGATACATTCCTTGTTGTATATTCCATGAGCTGTCATAGTGCTTCTCTTCACAGTGTGATCTACCTTCTGTTTCCTGGGAGGATGACTTGTTTAATAGGTTTTGGAGACTCATTCTGTTGATAGAGTCTCATAAAAGCACTTTTGTAGCAAGCTTTGGTTTTCAAGGACATGACCCTGTTCATATCTTGAATGCAGCTCCCTGCCCTAGTGCAAATGTTAATAAGTTAAGTGCATATCAAATAAGAATTTTAATTCAGTTCATCATATGTTTATGTATTTAAATTTAAGAGTCAAATTGATATAATTGGTAACATTACCCATTTGCTTTGATTTGAGATGCCAAGTGATTGAAAAAAATTTTTAATTTAGAAGCGAATTACCTCGCTTATTTGAATTTATCATTTTTGCATAATTAGTATGAACTAATTTAATTTGCAGTTATCCTTTTAAATGACTTAAATGATGTCTGCTGAGATACTCAATGCCACATGATTAGTGGAGTCATCCTGCATATTTCTCCATTCTCATAGGAGTAAAAAATATTAAAGTACAACTGTGATGCTTAAAGAGAGAATTCACAGCTTGATCCTTTTTCTATGAATTTCCTACTTTTTGTTCTGCTTTGTTCCCCTCATCTCACTCTAGGGTGCATTAAGTTTTCCAGAAGGACCATATTTTGCATTTGGAGATGGAATGTCTTCCTTGTTCAACTCTATCCTGATCTATGCTATTTTCACTGGATGTTTAGCTCACATCTCAGATCTGCTAAGGGAAGACTGGTTATACACTTGGTAAGTCATGGTAGAAATCCCAAGCCACTGCTTCTGTTGGAGACTGAGGCTTCTAGAGCAAATACTATTTTTTAATGATGATTTTGATGAGTCTTAAAAGTTTGGGCTTTTCCTTTTTGCTGTAATGTAAATTTAAAATATGTCATCTCAAAAACATAAAAAAAAATAAAAGGAAATGGAAAGTGGGTGGGAGGGGAAAGGGAAGGGATGGAGGGAAGAGAATGTCATTGTGTTTTTAGAATTGTATCTGAAATCACATTCTGTTAAAAACTAAATTGATTCTGTTAAAAACTAAAAATTAAAAATAATTTGGGCTTTTCAAACTTCAGGTCCTGCATTAAGAAATAATTTTGTGGTTGTGACAAGCACCTAAGAAACTGTGAAACAAACTGGAATTGATAATGTTAGAGTATGTTATATGCAATAAAGGTGAGTAAAGATTCATGCAGTTTTTATAGTAGGCTTGGGTGTATGTATAGTGATACAAATGATTTTATATAATTTTTATGTTTCTGTCCAAAGTCGTTTGGAAGCCACTGCCTTGGATTCAAACTGTCTGATGCAATTTGACAATAGTTGACAATAGCAGTTTGAAGTGCCAGTATAGCTGAAATGTAACAGCATAGATAGTTATTAGTTGCCTATTTTAAAGGGATCAGTGAGTTGCTTCTGTCTGAGAAGCTTACCCTGGCTTGGACATTTTCCAAAGGGCAAGTACCAGTTATCCCCATAAACAGTAGGAGTCCAAATGTTATCTCTCTGGGAGGCAGCAGATTTAGTTTGTGAAATTGCTCTTGGCTGCTGGGGCTATGTTTGGCAGTACTGTTCTTTCTTACCCAACTAGATCAGAAATATCCAGTTTTCTCAAGGTCTCTGTTTGCCTCTCTATTAATGAGTTTTGTTTGGTAGACTGACAAATTAAAAAAATTTTTTAGCTTATTAGAGAGAGAGAGAGAGAGAGAGAGAATATCCCATCTGCTGTTTCACTTCCCAAATGCACATGATGGTTGGGAGAGGGTTGGGAGAGGGTTGGGCCAAAGTCAGGAGCCAGGAGCCAAGAACTCAATACAGGTCTTCCATATGGGTGGCAGGAATCCAACCACTTGAGCCATCACCTCTGCCTCCCAGGGTTTGCATCAGCAGGAACCTGGAGTCAGGAGCCAAAGCAAGAATGGAACCCAGGTACTCTGCTATAGGATGTGGGCATCTTAACCTCTAGCCAAAACACCTGCCGCTGGGCTGGCAACTTCTAATCTTTAACTCTCCTTCTTTGCTGGAGAACTTCTCCTTTCATACCCATAGTGTCTAGAGAAAATGGGAAGCAGCATTAAAGGTTATTTACCAAACCAGATGGGTTTGGTAAAGGCCTACTCATTTAGAGGAAGTTTTCATCCCTGGCATTAGAAAGTTAATCCTAAATTAGAGTAATGCAGTGTCACACTTTCAGTCTACTGTAAGCTTTAGAGAGAATGGCACAGCTTTCCAAGATGATGAATTCTTTTATAACTTTTGTGTTTTGACCTTTTTACTGATGAAAATCAACCAAACTCATCATTGCTCCCTTCCCCACTCTCCACCAATGGTTCTGTTATGCAAGTTTTAAAATATGCACTCAAGATGATAGTTGGCAAAGATTGAATTTTCATGTAACATTTCCTTTTTTCACAATATGACATTTTCTCTCCCCCTCTTTTTTTTTTTTAATATTTGTTTGTTCATTTGAAAGACAGACTAACAAGGGGTGGAATGGGGAGAGAAGAGACACAGGGAGAGAGATCTTGCTAGTTTGCTTTCTAAATGATTGTAATAGCCAGGGCCTGTGCCAGACTGAAACTAGGAGCCCAGAATTTGTATCTGAGTCTCCCATGTGGATGGCAGGGACCCGAGTGCTTGGGCTATGACCTGCTGTCTTCCTAGGTTCATTAGCAGGAAGCTGGATTGGAAGTGGAGTAGCTCAGATTCGGATCAGGCACTCTTGTGCAGGATGTGGACATCCCATGTGGCTACTTAACCTGCTGTGCCAAAATTCCCCCATCACAACATTGTCAAGGATAGCTAGAACCCTTTTTCTTAAGGAGTTTGCAGACAAATTAAGAAAACAAAATATATGCGTTTGTTAAAATATTTTTAAAAGATTTATTTATTTTACTTGAAAGTCAGAGTTACATAGAGAGAGAAGGAGAGGCAGAGACCGAGGTCTTCCATCCACTGGTTCACTCCCTAATTGGCTGCAATGGCCGGAGCTGTGCATATCTGAAGCCAGGAGCCAGGAACTTCTTCCCAGGTCTCCCACGGGGCTGCAGGGCCCAAGGGCTTGGGCCATCTTCCACTGCTTTGCCAGGCCATAGCAGAGAGCTGGATCGGAAGAGGAGTAGCCAGGACTAGCCCATATGGGATACCAGCACTGCAGGTGGCAGCTTTACCTGCTACACCACAGCACCAGCCCCAAATAAATTGTTAAAATATTAAAATGTCATTCTAAAATATTTTCTATAGCTCAAAACATGGTGTAAGGCAGATCCCTATTTAAAGGGGGAGGACTTATAGGTTGTTGTCAGGGAGCCTCTTAGAGTGCTCTTAAGAACAGTGTTAAAGTGAGGACTGAGACACATTTTGTTCAGCCAAATCTAATTTAAATGGAGAACGTCTCCTAAAGCACTGAAATTGATTTTGTCCTCAGCTCCCCTTTGTTGTAAATTCTTGTGATCACAGAATATAGAGAAGGGAGATATTTGGTGTCCATTCTGTTTTTCTCGTTTTATATATCAGAAAACAGGGGATCAGAGCAAGGAGATCATTAAGATCACCCAATTATTTAGTCATTTACTTGGGTCTACAAGGGCTGCAGAAGAGGAGGAGCATTTGTGAAATATTTTGTAACTAGAAGAGTCAATAGCTGCAGACTTGGTACATAGGCTGAGGAACTGGATATTGAGGGAAAGGGAAGATTCAGAGATGTTTCTTTGGTCACTAGCTTTGGCATCTGTGCACTTGGGTGGCACTCATTTTGTAGGAAGACATGAAAAGTACATCTGTGGAGAAAGATGGTAAGCTTAGTCTGGAATTGTTATATGTTGGGTGCCTTTGTAAATCCAGGACCATGTGTTGCTGTTGAATATACACAAAAGGAAAACCATGAGATGACTGGGTCATGACAGCCTAGTAAAAGTACTTCTAAAGGAAGTTGTTATCATCCATAGCCTCTCTGAAGCCAAGCAAGATAAAAATGGAAATGTGTCCATTAGAGTTGGCTTTAACAAAGTTGTTGGTGATCTTGGCAAGTGACGTATCAACGGAATGGTGAGGCTAGAGGCGAAATGTAGTAAGCTGAGAAATGAGTGGGAGATGAGTAGAAAAGTGAATAAAAACAACTAACAGGAACTTTGGGTCAGTGAAAGGGAGGGGAGGAGTAGGGTAATTCCTGTAGGAGATGTAGAGGGGTGGTTTTATTTGATATAGGAGAGAGTTGGGCATGTTTAAGTGCTGATAATAAAGGGCCAGTTTTTCTACTGAAGTAATTTTTCTCTTTTCTGTCTCCTGCCTTCTGTCTAGAGGTCTATATAGTTCCTGGAAATCCTGAGTAGGTCTTTAGGAACATCAGCATGATCTCTTTCTGATCCATTACCAATAAACAGCTTTTGTTACCATCCCATAAGCCCACATTCCCCTTGGGCTGCTTTCCCGTCACTCACATCTGCATTAAGGGAAGAAAATCTCTGAAATTTGCTGGTGGGGTAAAGAGAGCCAAAGAGATTTTATTGCATTTCAAAATAGCCAACTGGAAAATAGACATGTTTAGACCAGTTTTTGTTGAAGATCTGATCATTTCATTGCTTACTATTAGTACCTGTTAGAGGACAGATACTATGGGTTGAGTAGGACTTCTCTTTGGTGTCTTAATGTTAATGGTTGATTGATTAAGGATGAATTCTTGATCAAATTATGGCATCTCTGATGTGTGTCTGATGGGAGGATATTATATCTTTGGGGATGTGCTTTCAGAGAGTGGTTCTCATAAGAGAGTTGATTGTTTGAGTTCAAGTTCTGTATAGCTGCTGTTTCCTGGCTTGTCATGTGATCATTCCTCCATACCCACCATGGCCAGAATCCCTCAGACACCAGACTATGGGACTGACCCATCCTGAATGGTAACCTCCAAACTATAAGTTGAAACAAACGACTTCTTTATCAAGAAGCTCCTCTCAGCTATTTTAGTTAAAGTAACAAAAGGCTGATTAGTAAATTATTACTCACACATCTAGTAACTGACTTTTTTTTTTAAAGATTTATTTGAAAGGCAGAGTTAAAAATAAAGAGAGGAGAGATATAGAGAGGTCTTCCACCTGCTGGTTCACTCCCCAAATGGCCACAATAGCTAGGGCTTGGCCAGATCAAAGCCAGGAGCCAGGAGCTTCATCCACGTATCCCATGTGGGTGACAGGGACCCAAGCACTTGGGCCATCCTCTGCTGCTTTCATAGATGCATTAGCAGGGAGCTGGGTTGCAAATGGAGCAGCCAGGACTCAAACCCACATGGGATTGGCTTTTTAGGTGCCAGCTTAACCCATTATGCAACAATACTGGCCCCTATTAACTGACTTTAAATTTTTTTTCTCAATATTGTTTGTTGATTACCTACTTTGTAGCAGGTGCTTGGCATGAAACACATAAAAGTGACCTGAAAGTTTTGATTTGTTAAGTATTTTATGTTTCAAAGGTAAATTTCTATAGTTTATGGTATTTTTATCATTTTAGATACTATATTCCATGTGTCAAAACTGTCGTTACTTCTGAAACTTTTTTTTAATCCTGTGCTCAAATTTGCTCTCTGTTTATAAAACAGGCTCTGCTGTGTGATTCTTTGTAGGAAAAAGGCAATGTAGAAATTGAAGGAAAGTTGACCTGGGTTCTCTCCCCAAGGGTGCAAGATCGTGAGGCAGGGGGTACAATCCCAGGAACAATCCACAGCATCCAGCCAACCTGACTGTTGCTGGGGGCCTCTCTTGGTTCCTGCCTTCTTCTAGTTCACTGAGTTCTCTGAGACCCTTCTAAGAAATCTCTGCTTGCAAACCTTACCTGGTTTGCCTTCAAGAATCCTGACAGATTCAGGATCACCATGGAATAGTTAAGCAACAATTAAAACATTTTTATTTATCTAACACATATGGACTGCATGTATTGTGCTAAATGCTTAATTTTTTTAAAAGATTTATTTATTTTTATTTATTTATTTTTTATTTTTGACAGGCAGAGTGGACAGTGAGAGAGAGAGACAGGGAGAAATGTCTTCCTTTTGCCGTTGGTTCACCCTCCAATGGCCGCTGTGGCTGGCGCACTGCGGCCGGTGCACCGTGCTGATCCGAAGCCAGGAGCCAGGTGCCTCTCTTGGTCTCCCATGGGGTGCAGGGCCCAAGCACTTGGGCCATCCTCCACTGCACTCCCTGGCCACGGCAGAGAGCTGGCCTGGAAGAGGGGCAACTGGGACAGAATCCGGCACCCCGACTGGGACTAGAACCCGGTGTGCCAGCGCCACAAGGCAGAGGATTAGCCTATTGAGGCATGGCACTGGCTTAAAAGATTTATTTATTTATTTGAAAGTCAGAGTTACATAGAGAGAGAAGGAGAGGCAGAGAGAGAGAGAGAGAGAGAGAGAGAGAGGTATTCATCCACTGGTTCACTCCCCAATTGGCCTCAATGGCTAGAGCTGTACAGATCCAAAGCCAGGAGCCAGAGCTTCTTCTGGATATTCCACATGGGGGCAGGGGCCTGAGCATTTGGGCCAGCTTCTACTGCTTTCCCAGGCCATAGCAGAGAGCTCGATCGGAAGTGGAGCAGCTGGGACTCGAACTGGGTGCCCATATGTGATGTTGGCACTGCAGGTGGTGGCTTTACCCGCTACGCCACAGCACTGACTCCTAAATGCTTTATTTTTTTAAAAATATTTATTTATTTGAAAGAAAAAGTCACAGAGAAAGGGAGAGACAGAGAGATACAGATCTTACACCCACTAATTCACTCCCCAAATAACACCCACTGCAACGGCTGGGACTTGGTCAGATTGAAGCCAGGAGGCAGGAACTCCATCTGGGTTTTCCATGTTGGGGCAGTGGCCCAAGGACTTGGATCATCTTCTGCTGCCTTCCCAGGTGCATTAGTGGAGATCAGGATCAGAAGTTGAGCAGATAGGACTTGAACTGCTGACCATATAGGATTCTGGCATTGCAGGCAAAAGCCACTATGCCAATTTCTGCTAAATGCTTTAAATAAATGCTTCACACAAATAAATGATGTTACCAAATCCTCACAACAGCAGAGTGAGGACTGTATAGTATATTCTTTCAAGAATCTCCTTGAAGGTCTCTTCTTCGAAGGCTCTTATATAAATAGTACACAAAATAATATATGCCATATATTTTATATAACATTTGTTATATATATAACATTTGTTATATATAATATATATTTATGCAATAGCACTTCAAAAAGGTCATGACAAAATAGAATAGAAAGATAGAAAGATAAGTTTATTTTGGTGCAAAAATTTTTTTTTTATTTTTAACTTTTATTTAATGAATATAAATTTCCAAAGTACAGCTTATGGATTACAATGGCTTCCCCCCATAACGTCCCTCCCACCCACAACCCTCCTCTTTCCCACTCCCTCTCCCCTTCCATTCACATCAAGATTCATTTTTGATTCTCTTTATATACAGAAGATCAGTTTAGCATACATTAAGTAAAGATTTCAACAGTTTTTTGGTGCAAAAAATTTTGAAATCCATTTGTAGGAGGTTCTTTAAAAATTTTAATGAAAAATGTGCATTATGAAAAACTATGTGTATGAATTCCAAAACTTTTTTATCAAAATAAACTTGTCTTTTAGTCTTATTTTCCATGAACTTTTTGGAAGTACCCTCAGATATGTAATATATTTATATAATATATAATATGAGGAAATGTGTTTGTTGCAACAATTAGAACACTGCTTGGTATCCTTGCATCCCATATGGGAGTGCCTTGATTCCAGTCCTGGCTTTGCTTCCAATTCCAGCTTCCTGATAATGCATACTCTGGGCATTAGCAGGTGATGGTTCAAGTCCGTGGGCCCCTGTGACCCACATGGGAGATCTGGATGGAGTTTCAGGTTCCTGGCTTTAGCCTGGCTCAGCACTGGATATTGCAGGCACTTGGGAAGTGAGCCAGTGCTGTGGGTATTTGGGATGGAAGTCTCTCTGTCTCTGCCTCTTAAAAACAATATATAATATAATGTGCTATACATATTAAGAACATTATATATAATTTTTATGTCCTTACTCTTACTATATTCTTTTTTATTTATTTATTTGACAGGTAGAGTTATAGACAGTGAGAGAGAGAGACAGAGAGAAAGGTCTTCCTTCCATTGATTCACTCCCCAAATGGCCGCTATGGCCGGTGCTGCGCCAATCCGAAGCTAGGAGCCAGGTGCTTCTTCCTGGTCTCCCATGCGGGTGCAGGGACCCAAGCACTTAGGCCCTCTGGGCCACAGCAAAGAGCTGGACTAGAAGAGGAGCAACCAGGACTAGAACCCGGCGTCCATATGGGATGCTGGCGCTGCAGGCAGAGGATTAATCAAGTGAGCCACAGTGACGGCCCCATTACTATATTCTTACTATGAGTCAGATACTATGTGTAGCAGTTCACACATGTTATTTCATGTCATTCCCATCTGAACTCTGGGAAGTAGATTTATTATCTTAATAACAGAGAGAATGAAAAAGGTCAAATAATGTTGTCAAGACTTATCTAGGAGTTGCAGATTTAAAATTTGACTATGCCTTGTATTGTTTTGTTGCTAAACCAATGTGTCTACTCTTAACCCTCTACTACTTGCCTCTTCCACGTCACTGTACTGGTTTGGGAAATGTTTTGTTTTTGTTCTGGAATCTGGTAGAGTCTGTATTTGACTTGTTTTGTTTCTTCCCCCAAAATTGCCTCTGAGGAAAGGCAAATCTGCATTATATAGGCCACTACTTCCCTTCTTCTGTCCATGGCAGGCATCACCAGTCAGTGATTACCATATCCCACTGAGCCAACTCAAGAACACAGCTTCTCTTCTACAGGAAGTCAATCCCATTTAGTAAGAGACAAATCCCATTTGTCATCCAAGAATTACTCTTACAAAACTATGCTTAGTAAGTTGTTGATATATTTCTATTTTCTCTATTTTACAGATGAAGAAATAATGATTAAAGAATTAAATAAGAAGCCATTTACTTATGGATATTAGCAAACACTAGATTTTTGTAGGATTTATTGAATTAATTCACATATAACTCTTCAGATTGTTTCTTGGCATGGGTAAGTTAGCTATTACTATTACTCCTCCAAACACATGGGTACATAAGAATCAGTAAATCCACTGAGACAAAAAGGATGTTGGTGTTGCCAAGGGCTGGGAGAGTGGGATGCAGAATGGGGAGGGTAGGTGTGGATTTTTCTTTTGGAAATTTTTGAAAGTTCCTAGACAGCAAATTGTCTTCCTGCACATGGAGTGATGAAATGTTTTGGAGCTAGATGGAAATGATAGTGTATAACATTGTAACAGTACTAAATGCCAATGATTTGTATGCTTCAAAATGTTTAATTCATGTTATGTGAATTTCACTTCAGTAAGTCACCCAGCTTGTGGTGGATCACACAGGTCCAGGAGACACTTGGGAGAGGGTACAGCCTTGAAATTTGTATCCTGGGATCTTCCTTCCCCTTACCCCAGTCCCGGATTTAGTAATATAGTAAGAATTTGTACCTAAATAATCTTTTGCTTTCTAAATAACGTGCTTTTTTAAAATGCTAACATGCTGTTTCAAACATCAGAGAATGTCCTTCCTCAGTGGTTGATAGCTTTGTGAGTCTGGGTTGAAAAGAACAGTTGAAGTGTCCCCACCTCAGGCAGGAAAACAAGTGAATTGTTGAAGCCCTTTATAGTTTACAAAGCTGTTTAAGAGAACAATTGGTTACAAATAAGAGGAAATTTCCACGTGCTGAGTAACCTATCCAACGTGCATGGTAAACATGACTCAAGAGGAGAGGTGGAGCCAGAAGGGAACCCTTGAGGTTCATAGAAACTTCTCTTCTGCTCTTGGCTCCATCTTTACTGATTGCAAAAGAGACTCTAAGACTTCAGGGCTGGGTCTGTTAAAAGCAAAGTGACATCAGTGGTCTCCTTTCTCTGTAAGCAGTGCCACTGAGCTTGCTGGGGTCATTTTTGGGCTGGAGAAACTATTTAGTCTAGGCTCAATAGATTTTAGTTTACAAGACTGGGAGAGTCTCCTTGGGAAGATGTCAAACTTCAGATCATCCACAGCTAATCTCAGCAGTTTGCTTTATTTGTAACTGTGTAAATGTGTTGTAGCAACAACCAAGTTCATAAACACAGCCACTTCATTGGTCACTCTTTCAAAACAGGAAGGTATTAATAAACAGCTACTTTTCATGTGAAGGCAACTTGACATACATAATTTGGCTAAGAATTATGTGGCCACAAAACCCCCCATGTTTCATTTATTACATGTTATTCCTTGTATTTGTTTTGAAAGGATTTTGAGGTAGCCTTCACTCACTTTCTGGGGCTTTGCCAGTATCAAAGATGGAAGCCCAGCTATCTGCCAGTGCTGTGTAGCCCTAGCTCTGATGCAGCAGTGAGCACAGAGGGGTGGGCACAAGGGTTACTTCTTGTGCGTGCAAAACTTTAAAGACATCTTTAAAGCTTCCAGATGTTCTTGTCTGTTTTTCAACGTGAATTATGAACCTTCTTTCTCTGCCACTGGGGATATTAAGACAAATAGCACATTTTCTCCCTCCAGGAACTTACAGTCTAATTTGGAAGACAGTCACATAAGCAGCTACCTGTAGAACAGATGATAAGACCATCCTAAATTTTGTGAACTAAAACCAGATGAACAGAGCAGGAATCATGGTATTCACTTTATTTTTAGTTGACATGTAGTAAGTGTACATTTTATGGGGTACAATGTGATAATTTGATACATGTCTATAATATGTAATGGTCAAATCAGGGTAATTCACATTTCTAACATCATTTTTGTGCTGGAATCCTTCAAACTCTCTTTGATAGTTCTTTTTTTTTTTCTTAAAGATTTATTTATTTATTTGACATACTTAGAGGGAGAGTGGAGAGAGAGAGAGAGAATATCTTCCATCCTCTGGTTCACTCCCCAGGATAGCTGCAACAGCCGGGGCTGGGTCAGGCTGAAGCCAGGAGCCAGGAGCTTCTTCCAGGTCTCCCACATGGGTGCAGGGGCCCAAGGACTTGGGCTGTCTTCTGCTTTTCCCAGGCCATTATCAGGAAGTTTGATCACAAGAGGTGCAGCAGGGACTTGAATAGGCTCCCATATGTGATGCCAGCATCACAGGTAGCAGCTTTACCCGCTACACCACAATGCCAGCCCCTAGTTCATTTTTTTCATTTAATTTCTTTTATTTATTGGAAAGGCAAAATGAGAGAGAGGGAGAGACAGAGAAAGAGATCTCCCTCTGCTGGTGCACTCTCAAATAGCTGCAACAGCTGGAACAGGCCCAGGCCAAATCTAGGAGTCTGGAGTCTGGAACTCCATCTGGTCTCCCATGTGGGTGGTAGGGACCCAGAAAGACCTGGACGGTCTTCTGCTGCCTTCCCAGACACATTAGCAGGGAGTTGGATTGGAAACAGAGCAGCAAGGACTTGAACCAGTGGTTAATACATAAATTACCTTTTCTAGGATTTAGAAATTGATATATATTGCACATACTATATATTCATTGTTTGCCAATCCTGGTGAACTCTTTGTCTATATCCTGCTCTGCACTCATCTGCAGGTATCCCTTGCCTGCCGGTATCCAAGGTACAATCACGAGTGCTCAGCCCCTTCCATTTCTGTGCTTGGGCAGCCCCTCCACTCCTAGGGGTGCTAAGGGTCTCCTGATGTTGCTTACTCTGCCATCTATGGTTGCTTTGATTCCCTTAGCCCTGCCTGCATCAACAGTCTCTTCATTTCAGCTTTTCTCAATTGGTCTCTTGAAGTAGTAAATTTTTTTTTTTTTAAGATTTATTTATTTGAAAGTGAGAGTTACACAGAGAGAAGGAGAGGCAGAGAGAGAGAGAGAAAGTCTTCGATCCACTGGTTCACTCCCCAGTTGGCTGCAACAGCCGGAGCCATGCCAATACAAAGCCAGGAGCAGGAGCCTCCCTCGGGTCTTCCCATGTGGGTGCAGCTGGGACTTGAACTGATGCCCATATGGGATGCCAGCACTGCAGGTGGCTGATTTACCTGTTATGCCACAGTGCCAGCCCCCTAAGTATTGAATTTCTTGCAGACCCAAAATCACACATTATCTAGCCGTGTGTACAAAGATGTTGGAGGTATATACATGATGTTTTACATTCATATACTGAGTTTATTAAATAAAACTCAGGTATGTACAATTAGAAAGTCATTTTTACCTTCACATTTTTTGAAAACTTTTATTTAAGGAGTACAAACTAAATACATTTCATAATTACAACTTTAGGAATATGGTGATTCTTCACAGCATATCTGCCCTCCCATCCACTCTTCGATCCCTCTTTTTCCTCGCTCTCCTATTCCCATTCTTATTTTGTACTAAGATCTATTTTCGAATAACTTTATATGCATATGATTAACCCTGTTAAGTAAAGAATTCAACAAATAGTGTGAAAAAAATGTTCCTCAACAGTCAAGACAAGGGCTGTTCAAAGTCATTGCTTCTCAATGTGTCAATTTCACTTCTATAGATTGTCTTTTAGAAGCTCTATTAGTTATCACAGGTTAGGGAGAACATGTAGTATTTGTCCTTTTGGGACTGGCTTTTTTCACTCAGTATGATGTTTTCCAGTTTCATCCATTTTGTTATAAATGACAGGATTTCATTTTTTTTTTACTGCTTTTTAGTATTCCACAGTGTACATATCCCATAATTTCTTTATCCAATCTTCAGTTGATGGGCATTTGGGTTGATTCCATTTCTTAGCTATTGTGAATTGAGCTACAATAAACATGGGGTACAGATAACTCTTTCATATGCTGATTTCATTTCCCTTGGATAAATTCCCAGGAGTGGAATGGATGAGTCATATGGTAGGTCTATATTTAGATTTCTGAGATATCTCCATACTGTCTTCCATAGTGGCTTTTCCAGTTTACATTCCCACCAGCAGGAGATTAGAGTACCTTTTCCCCTGACATCCTTGCCAGCATTTGTTGTTTATTGATTTCTGATTGAAAGCCATTTTAACTGAGTTGAGATGAAACCTCATTGTGGTTTTAATTTGCATTTCCCTGATGTCTAGTGTTCCTGAGCATTTTTTCATGTGTCTGTTGGCCATTTAGATTTCCTCTTGAGAAATGCCTGTTTAAGTGTTTTGCCCATTTCTTAACTGGATTATTTGTTTTGTTGTTGAGTTTCTTGATCTCTTTATATATTCTGGTTATTAATTCTTTATCAGTTGAATAGTTTTCAAATAATTTCTTTCATTCTGTCAGTTACTTCTTCACTTTCTTGAATGTTTCTTTTGCAGTACAGAAGCTTCTCAATTTGATGTAATCCCATTTGTGAATTTTGGCTTTGGTTGCTTGTGCCTCTGGTGTCTTTTTCAAAAACTCTTTTCCTATGCCAATGTCTTGCAGGGTTTCCCCAATGTTCTCTAATAATTTGATGATATTGGATTTAGGTATTTAATCCATTTGGAGTGGATTTTTATGTCAGGTGTAAGGTAGGGGTCTTGTTGATACTTCTGCATGCGGTGATCCAGTTCTCCCAGCATCATGTGTTGAAGAGACTGTCCTTGCTTCAGGGATTGATTTTAGTTCAAAATGAAAAAAAAAAGTATTTAGGAACAATGTACTAAATTGGTCAAATGATTTTTTGTTTATTGCACATCTTGAAGTTGTTTCTCTAACACCCATTTCAGCTCTCTTAAGTGACAACCATGATGTCTAGGAGTGATGGACCTGATGTGCAGATGCAGAGGAGGGCCCTGACTGCTCTAAGTCACTTAGAGTAATTGAATTTCTTTGTCATCCAGATACAGGTTGAAGTCATTCAGAGAATGGCACTTCCTGAGCTGCCTTAGTTAGGGTTAGTCTAATGAGAGTGAAGCTCGAGACTCTGAGTGGTCATTCTAGAAGCTGGCCGTGGCCTTCACTCTTCCTTTGGGTATAAATGAAGTACTCTATGAATACTGCCAGCAATCATTTAATGAGGCCAGCACAATAATAAAACCAATATATAAAAGTAGGCAGAATTCTGAACTGCTGAAAAAAAGTTCAGCTGTAGCCTGTACCAAATCACACCTGTATCAAGCCATTAAAAGTCCCAAGGACTTTGTAGTTATAAGAACTAGTAGCAGCTTTTCTGTTATTTGCCACATAAATAACCTCAACCCATAATATCTCTGCTGTGCTTGAGGAACTTACATTTAATTAAAAAAAAAAAAAAAAGAACAGGGCTCATTAAATGGTGATACATTTATAGTTGCAGAGTATTAAATACAAAGGATCCCCAACTTACAATGGCATAATTTATAATTTTTTTAAAACTTTACTATGGTGTGAAAGCTTACCTATACAACCTAGTATTTTTTACTTTCAATATAATATTCAAAAATTACATTAGATATTCAACTCTTTATTATAAACAGTCTTTATGTTAGAGATTTTCTCCAACTATAGGCTAATGTTGGTGTTCTGAGTTTATTTAAGGGAGGTTCAGCTAAGCTTTCATGTTTGCTCTGTTAGGTGTATTAAATGCATTTTCAACTTACGATATTTTCAATTTTCCATCAATATATTGAAATATAATCCTGTTGTAAGTCAAGGAGTGTCTGAAGATTTATAGTTTCTTTTATATTCCTATTGAAGTGACTCAAAACTAACATTCCCAAAGTCAAACTTCATTGCCTCATTCACATAGAATAAGGGGCAAGGAATTTTAAGGTAGATAAGTCTTTATTCTTCATTCAAAGGTAAAGGACAAATTGTGGATGAGCCAAAGTTGAAACTGAAGTAGTGACAGCTATTTTGACAAACCTCAGCCAAGTTAGGCAGAATAGAAATAAAGAGAAAGTGATGCCAGTTTCAGAGCTACTATTTGCCAATTACTTTCATGTACATCATCACACTGATTTTTTTTAAAAGATGTTTATTTACTTAGCCCTAGGACTAAGGTATGTGGTATTATAAACCACAGCATCATTTGGACCCTCACAGCAGGAACTGAGGAAGGGTCCTTCTGTATCATACAGCACTAGAGCTGCAGCAATTGGTGCCACAAACCATGGCATCACTCGGTTTTGCCAGTAGGAGAATGAGGCAACTATACTTGTCTCCCTCAGCACCAAGAACAAGGCCCTGGCTATCACATTAGCTAGAGGGACTGACACTGAACTATCTGTAGACCAAAGATACACACCCAAGGAAACCATTATTCATTTCAAAGTCACGCTTCTATCCCTACAAACTGTAGCAGATTAATCCACTGTGTTACTTATAGATACAGCTGACATTTTTTGAAACAACAGAAATCACTCAGAGACTACACTTCTAGGTTCTAGGCTCACCTAGAACCAAAGTCAAAGTAACAGGCCAACTGATATCCTGCATTCCAGCTAAGCCACAAACTCTTTTATAATAAAACTGAATCCATAAGGAAGAAGGGACAAGTACACCAGATGGGCAGACATCAATGTAGGGAGGGGGCATGAAGAAGCAAGGTAAAATGATGACTCCAAAAGAACACTATAACTACTCCAGAAATAGATCTTCAACTGAAGGAAATCTAGACATGACAGATATAGAATTAAAAGTAATTATTGTAATAAAATTTAATGAAATGCAAGAGAATACAGATAAAGAAATGAGGAAATCAATGAGTGACATGAATGAAGATATTACTAAGGAGACAGAACTCATTAAGAAGAACCAAAAAGAAATTTTGTAGATGTTATCTTCAATGAGAGAATTTAGAAAGTATGATTGAGAGCTTTAACAGCAGAATAGACCAAGTGAATTTTTGACCTCGAGGACAAGAACATTGAAATAACTCAATCAGATAAAAATGAAAAGAATTAAAAAGAATGGAGAATGTCTCCATGAAATGTGGGATACAATTAAATGACCAAATACCCATATTATAGGTATTACTGAAGGAGAAGAAAAGGAAAAAGTCATAAAGAACCTGCTAAATGAAATGATAGTTGAATATTTCCCAGGTCATTAAAGAGATATGGACATCCAGATACAAAGAAGCTCAAAGAATCCCAAGCAGATACAAACAATAAAGATCTTCTCCAAGGCACATTGTTTTCAAATTATCAAAAGTTAAAAATGAGGAGAGAATCCTAAAGACAGTAAGAGAAAATTGTCAAGTTACATATAAAGTAAAACCAATTATTAGCATCAGAATTCTCAGTGGAGAGTCTATAGCCAGAAGAGAATAGGATGATAGATTCAAGGTCTTAACAGAAGAAAACTTCCAACCATGGATATTATGTCCAGTGAAGCTGTCCTTCAAGAGTGAAGAAAAAATGAAGTATTTTCCAGATAAGCAAAAACTGAGAGAATGCACTGCCAGCAGACCAGCTTTACAAGAAATTCCGAAGGGTGTCCTACATTAGAAATAAGCATCATGAAAACACATGACAACATCAAATTCACTAACAGCAGGTAAAATCATTTTCCATAACAGGTTTTAGTTCTTTAGCAATACTAACCTTGAATGTAAATGGATGGAATTCACCAATGAAGAGACTTAGGTTGGCTAGATAGATAAAAAGCCATGACCCCATTGTAGGCTGCCTCAAGAAACTCACTTCAGAAGGCAAAGGCACACACAGACTGAAAAGAAAGTGTTGTAAAAAGATATACCAGGCAAATGGAAACAAAAAAAATGAGCTGGAATCATTATCCTGATATCAGATAAAACAGACTTTAACTTAAAAACTGTAAAAAGAGATAAAGAAGGATATTATATTTTGATAAAAGTTTTAATTCTTCATGGGGCTGGCGCCGTGGCTCACTTGGTTAATCCTCCACCTGCGGTGCCGGCATCCCATATGGGCGCGGGGTTCGAGTCCCAGTTGCTCCTCTTCCAGTCCAGCTCTCTGCTGTGGCCTGGGAAGGCAGTGGAGGATGGCCCAAGTGCTTGGGCCCCTGCATCCACATGGGAGACCGGGAGGAAGCACCTGGCTCCTGGCTTCGGATGAGTGTAGCTCCGGCTGTAGCGGCCATTTGGGGGGTGAACCAACGGAAAGAAGACCTTTCTCTCTGTCTCTCTCACTGTCTAACTCTATCTGTCAAATAAATTTTAAAAAAGGTTCAATTCTGCAAGAAGACATAACAACCATAAATATATATGTACTCAACTCAAGACTGACCAGATATATACAGAAAATAATACTAGATTTATAGAGAGAGATAGACTCCAATACAATAATAGTGGATTATTTCAACTTCACTCTCATTAATGGACAGATCATCTAGACAAAAAATAAAGATACATCAAAGTTGAAACATAGTATCAAACAAATGAACCTAACAGACATTTACAGGACATTTCCCCCAGTGGCTACAGGATACACATTCTTTTCATCAGCAAATAGAACACTTTCTAGGATAGACCACATAATAGGCCACAAATCAAGATTCAGCAAATTTAAAAAGATTGAAATTACACCATGTATCTTCTCAGTCTATAATAGAATAAAACTAGAGATCAACAACAAGAACAACAGAACACTAATAATACTTGGAAATTATACAATATGCTACCAAATGATCAAAGGGTCATTGAAAGAAATAAAAAACTTTCTTGAAAGAAATGAAAATGAAAAACAACATATGAAAACATTTGGGATACAGCAAAATCAGTATTGAGAGAGAAGTTTATAGCATTAGCTGCTCACATTTTTTAAAAAAGAGAAATGTCTCAAAGATCTAATAATGAATCTTGAAGACTTAGAAAAACAAGAACAAACCCAACCACAAATCAGCAGGAGGCAAGAAATAATAAGGATTAGAGCTGAAATACATTAAATTAAAACAAAAAAATGAAAGATCAACAAAGCAAAAACTTTTTGACAAAAGAAAATAAAACTTCTAGCTAGACTAACAAAGAAAAAAGAGAAAAAATTAAAATAAATAAAATATAGAGATGAAAAATTGACACCACTGAAATACAAACAATAAGAAACTACTATGGGGGCCAGTGCCATGGCTCAGTTGGTTAATCCTCCGCCTGAGGCGCCGGCATTCCATATGGGCGCCAGGTTCTAGTCCCAGTTACTCCTCTTCCAGTCCAGCTCTCTGCTGTGGCCCGGGAAGGCAGTAGAGGATGGCCCAAGTGCTTGGGTGCCTGTACCCGCATGGGAGACCAGGAAGAAGCACCTGGCTCCTGGCTTCGGATTGGCGCAGCACCGGCCATAGTGGCCATTTGGGGAGTGAACCAATGGAAGGAAGACCTTTCTCTCTGTCTCTCTCACTATCTAACTCTATCTGTCAAATAAATAAATAAATAAATAAATAAATAAAACTACTATGAAAAAGTATATGCTAATAAACTGGAAAATCTCGAAGAAATTGATAAATTCCTGGACTCATATTACCTACCATGATTAAATTAAGGATATATAGACAACCTAAACAGGTCCATAACCAGCAATGTTATTGAAACTGTACTCAAAAGTCTTCCATCAAGGAAAAGTCTGGGACCTGATGGCTTTACTACTGAATTCTACAAAAGATTCAAAGAGGAAGTAGCTATAGTATTCTTCAAACTATTCCAAAATATGCA